ACTAATGTTAAGGTGAATATAGAATGTAATATTAAGGTGAATATAGAATAATATTAAGACGAATATCGAATGATTAGCAATGTCTAATTAATTGTTCCACTTTATAGCTTGAGAAAATTCAAAAGAGCTCAAGAACCAATTGTGCAGACTTCCATGGCGAATTTCTTCCTTCTTATCCAGATTTCATGACTGTAAACCATCAAGAGCAATACAATGTGTTATAATGCACTGTAAAGAGTGTCTGCACATGGTTTAGAATAGTTGGACTAGTCAATGATTCAGTCTGTCAGCTGTGCCAAGTGGTTGGGCAAGTTATCACCAACACAGTCCCCCTACACCACCTACCCCACCCTCCTCCAACACAGTTTCTCCCAGTCGGCTGTGCCATGCTGGGTAACTGGGACAACGTGCTCCAATGAGCCGACACTGTGCAGGTTGCATGCGTTGCTCTCAGACTGCTGGCACAGGACCCTATTTGTGGGATGGGAATGCGGCACCCCTGCACCAGGGGAACATAACTAAAAATGAGACAGTAAGAACTGCCGATGCTGGAGTCAGAGATAACACAGTGTGGAGCTGGAGGAGCACAGCAGGCCAGGGAGCATCAGAGGAGCAGGAAAGCTGATGTTTCGAAACATCAGCTTTCCTGTTCCTCTGATGCTGCCTGGCCTGCTGTGTTCCTCCAGCTCCATGCTGTGTTATAACTAAAAATGAAGCATTTTTAAAAGAAAACTGAAACTGGAATAATTGACATTTGCACTGATAAAAATAATTCCTGCCAAATTGATTATTTTCAGAAGCACAGAACACAGAGACTGACAAGAGTTTTTAGCGAACCACTTTTAAACATACACATGCTAGGCATTATCCACAGAAAAACTTCCAAATTACATTTTATGACAATGTTACAGTGTTTATGGATGTCCCCATTGAATTTCTTTTGCTACTGAAAGTGGAAATTACTGAAACAAAGCGCAGACAAAAAATTGCTTTGTTCACTAATCTCATTCTTTGTGTATCCATCCCATGTATGGCTATCCCAATTATACACTCCACCCAAGCTTCATAGCCTGCTTTGACATTTTCCTGGAGCGTTGATCACGTGAAATTTCATGTACAATCACCTTACTCAGCCAAGGGTCTACTTTCTTCCCAACCCTCTTCCCCCATTTTCCAAAGTTTTGTTTTTCAGAAAAATGAAGAGAAGCATTGGAAGAAAACTCGAAAAGGAAGACTTTCCAATTTCCTCATGTCTTTTCTCTGACTGTTGCTCGTAAAAGTGGCAAAAGATTCATTTTCCGCCCACAGATCGTCCATACCAATTCTTGATGATTCAGATCCTTAAATCTTCACTATACACTTAAACTTCAAAGGGAAGTCTTTGCTAAATATTTTGTTACAATCTGACAAATCTAGAATACGTACCTGCCTGTTAATCTTTATCATTGAACCCTGGCCTGTGCCATTCACATAAGAATATAAAATAGGAACAGAATTCAGCTATTCAGCCCTTCTGTTCTGTTTTGCCACTCAGTAACATCAAGGCTGATCTGTAAATGAACTCCAACTCACCATAACTATATATTCCTTAACCGCTCTTTCAAATTCCTTTCAAAACCAAAAAATCTCTATTAAATTAACCTTTATCCTTCTACGTTCCAAGGGAAAAAAAGTCTGGCTAATGTGATGACAACTCATAATTTACCCCCTGGTACCAGTGGGGATGTTCTGGTGAAGCTTGCTGTCATTCTCCCAAAACCAATGGATCTTCCAAACAAACAAATTATAGACAAGTTAGTCTTTCTATCTTAACAGGGTAAAAGTTCCTTGATTTCCTTTTTTATGCTGACTTGTTATGACGGACTTGTTCAATTCACTGCCACATGGATTACCACACACGGAGCCTCAAATCTATCGTCCCAGCAAAAATGATTCAAGGACACAAGACCATTGTCTCTAAATATACCTCAGTAACTTCTTCAAATTCATTCCCGGAATCTGGGGATGTTGGTTAGGCCATCATTTATTGCCCATCCCTAACCATGCTGGATAGGGTGAGCTTCCTTCATTGAATCCCTGCAGTGTGAAAGCAGGCCGTTCAGCCCATTGAGTTCACACTGACCCGCTGAAGAGCATCCCACTCATTCCCATCCTCTGGCTGGAACCCTGCATTTCCCAAGGCCAATCCACCTAGCCTGCACATCTTTGGAGACAGTAAGGACTGCAGATGCTAGGAAGCTAGAGTCAATAAATGCAGAGCTGGAAAAGCACAGCAGGTCAGACAGCATCCGAGGAGCAGGAAAGTCAACATTTTGGGCCAAAACCTCCTTCATCGTGAAATCTTGACTTTCCTGCTTCTCGGATGCTGTCTGACCGGCTGTGCTTTTCCAGCTGCACATCTTTGGATGGGAGGAAACCCATGCAGACATGGAGAAGAATGTGCAAACTCCACACAGAGAGTCGCCTGAGCCTGGAAATGAACCCAGGTCCCTGGTGCTGTGAGGCAGCAGTGCTAACCACTGAGCCACTGTGCCATCCTTCCTTCTTGAAGCACTGCACTCGATGTGGTGTTGATGCTGTTAGGGAGGGAGTTCCAGGATTCTGACCCAGCACTTATGAAGGAACGGTGATGTTCTCAGAAAGGATGGCATGTGACTTGGGGGAGAACTCGCAGGTGGTGATGTTTCCATGCATCTGCTGTCCTTGCCCTTCTAGCTGTCAGAGTTTACAGGTTTAGAAGATGTTGTTGAAGAAATGTTGGCAAGTTCCTGCAGTATGTCTTGTCGATGGTACACACTGCTGCCAGTGTGCATCGGTAATGAGGAATGTGTTGATTGGTGACTGATGTGCAGCCAACTCCATTTTAGACACAGGCCAGGAATGCCCTCAAGTTACTGCACATTCCCAGCAAAGTTACGCAGATGAATTTGGCTGCAACTCAGAGGAAAATAGGGACAATAATTCCCATCAGTGTGAGTTACTTATCTAATAAATTTACTCTCCTCGGCATTGTGGTTCCAAAGTTATCCATTTTGGGTGTTCTTTGCCTCCCATTAATTTGATTTCCTTGTGTGACTCAACTCAACCACATTTAGCCAACACAATAATCCCTACTTGGGATGTCGGAGTACAAAGCAAATGGAGGGGAGTGGCTGTCAGTTCTGGCAGAGGTTTCATCTCATGACCTCCCCCCACCTCCTCAAGCACCACCATAGCTGCCATTGGGCATCCAACTCAACCATCTCACTGTCTGAAAGGATAATTTCAATCTTTTATTCCCTCTTTAGTCCAGACGAAACTCTGGTTTCTTTGTTTAAGCATTCATTCATGCATGCATGCATGGGAATTGTGGATATTGAGGATGGCACACTACTCAAACTTTACTGCAAAAGGCAACGGTTTTATACTCTTTTACAGACAACAATTTTCTAATCAACTGTCTTGACAGATAATTATTTCCAATCAAAAGTTTACATATTTACTCATGCATATCTCTCTCTTGCAGTGTTTACATAGTTTACATTCCAGGTTAAAAGCTAACATACTTGACTATATTATCCAACCATATCAGAGCATATTCATATCTTCTAACTGTAAGTATGTACAGGTGATTATCAGAAAATCTTTTACACTTTCACTGTCCTACCACACTCAATTAGTCTGTAGATATGTATTTAACTGAATGGATTAATCTTCACCATCAGTCAAGCAACCATCTTTCACCATCCCCAATATTTTTAGAAATGGTTAACAAACATTTTTTAAGGAAACAAACCAAAAACTCACTTTTAAGGAGCAAATGCTGTAATCTGTACTGAAAACAACAAATGCAGGAGATCACAGCAGGACATGGATGTTGCCTGATCCACTGTGATCGCCAGCATTTGTTGTTTGCAAAACTCACTTTTCATGCCCCTGTGATTATTATCCTGGGCTTTTCATAACAGTGTTCTGGAGATTAGTGTAGATCACACAACATCCATTGACCCTCCAAATAAAACATCTATATTCTTTGTTATCAAAAGTCGCACTTTTGCATAATCTTGGTACAGAAGTCATGATGTGGAGGTGCCGGTGTTAGACTGGGGTGGTTTTTGACTTGGTGTAGAAGTTGCCTCCCCACTTTTCAGCTACAAAATGTTAAGTTCAACCTCATTTTTTTACGCCAGCAATGCTTGTTGCTGTAAGTCAATGCGTGGGAGCAAGCGGATGAAAGGAGTTGTGTACCAAAGAAGTTGCACAGGAGTTTAAGACATGCCCATGCAGAGTAGAGCACCTGTAGCATGATCAAAGAACACGAGCGATGAGCCGAATTGGAATCTC